TACCACGTTGAAAGCACCAGTTCTCGTCCGATCACTGGTTAGTACTTGGATGGGTGACCGCCTGGGAACACCGAGTGCTGTAGACTCCTTTTTGCTGGTATTTCCTCTTGATTTGCGAGAAAGACCCGCCAGAAAAATTCCTATATAATGTCTACGGCCATACCACGTTGAAAGCACCAGTTCTCGTCCGATCACTGAAGTTAAGCAACGTCGGGCTCGGTTAGTACTTGGAATTGTGACCGCCTGGGAACACCGAGTGCTGTAGACTCCTTTTTGCTGGTATTTCCCCTTGATTTGCGAGAAAGAACCGCCAGAAAAATTCCTATATAATGTATACGGCCATACCACGTTGAAAGCACCAGTTCTCGTCCGATCACTGAAGTTAAGCAACGTCGGGCTCGGTTAGTACTTGGATGGGTGACCGCCTGGGAACACCGAGTGCTGTAGACTCCTTTTTGCTGGTATTTCCCCTTGATTTGCGAGAAAGACTCGTCAGAAAAATTCCTATATAATGTCTACTGCCATACCACGTTGAAAGCACCAGTTCTCGTCCGATCACTGGTTAGTACTTGGATGGGTGACCGCCTGGGAACACCGAGTGCTGTAGACTCCTTTTTGCTGATATTTCCCCTTGATTTGAGAGAAAGACCCGTCAGAAAAATTCCTATATAATGTCTACTGCCATACCACGTTGAAAGCACCAGTTCTCGTCCGATCACTGAAGTTAAGCAACGTCGGGCTCGGTTGGTACTTGGATGGGTGACCGCCTGGGAACACCGAGTGCTGTAGATTCCTTTTTGCTGGTATTTCCTCTTGATTTGCGAGAAAGACCCGCCAGAAAGAATTCCTATATAATGTCTACTGCCATACCACGTTGAAAGCACCAGTGCTCGTCCGATCACTTAAGTTAAGCAACGTCGGGCTCGGTTAGTACTTGGATGGGTGACTGCCTGGGAACACCGAGTGCTGTAGACTCCTTTTTGCTGGTATTTCCCCTTGATTTGCGAGAAAGACCCGCCAGAAAAATTCCTATATAATGTCTACGGCCATACCACGTTGAAAGCACCAGTTCTCGTCCGATCACTGAAGTTAAGCAACGTCGGGCTCGGTTAGTACTTGGATGGGTGACCGCCTGGGAACACCGAGTGCTGTAGACTCCTTTTTGCTGGTATTTCCCCTTGATTTGCGAGAAAGACCCGCCAGAAAAATTCCTATATAATGTCTACGGCCATACCACGTTGAAAGCACCAGTTCTCGTCCGATCACTGAAGTTAAGCAACGTCAGGCTCGGTTAGTACTTGGATGGGTGACCGCCTGGGAACACCGAGTGCTGTAGACTCCTTTTTGCTGGTATTTCCCCTTGATTGCGAGAAGTG